CCCCCCCCGAGCGCTGTGGGCGCCGCCATCGCAGGTGGGGGCAGCGCAGCCGGAAGGGATTCGTGAGGCCGCGCCCACGCTGAGGCCGAGGCCGCCATCTTGAGTGCGGGCAACGCTGCCCTCCCATTGGCTCAGGCGGAGGGGTGGGACGGCCGCCATTTTGGGTGCGGGCAGCGCTGCGCTCCCATTGGCTGAGCCCGAAGGAGCGGTGCACCGCCCTCCGTCGTCCCCCCGGAATCCGCCCCCATCGTGGCACAGTTCCGCAGTTTCCGAGTTCCGCCTCCCTTTTTGCGTCCCCTCTGTTCTCTCCCGCCTCCCCGCGGGCACAGCCTGCGTCTCTTCCTCGCGTCCCCGTATCCTTCGTGTGTCACCTCCCTACACCCCCATCATGTCCCTCTTTGTGCCCCCTCTCAGCGTCCCTACGCCCCTCCCTGTGCCCACTGCCCACCCCCCCCATGTCCCCTAACCATACGCCATGTTCCCTTCCTGCATCCCCTCCCCACTGCCCCCACTGTGTCCCCTTTCTGTCTCCCGCCTTCTTGTCTGCCCCATGTCCTCTCCCCACGTCCCTGGACCCCCCCATGTCCCTTCCTGTGTCCCTCTGTGTATTTTCCAGGAAAGGGCCCCCACCACCCATTGGGGACAGATGGATGTTGCCCCCAGAGCCAACCCTGTGCCCTTTGAACACGTTGTCCCCAAACAGCAGCAGTGTCCCCTATGGTGGCTGCGTGTGACGCTGTCACACCATGGCCGAGGGTCAGTGATAAGGGTGGACAACGACCTTTGACCCCCCCCGGGTGGTAACAGCTATTAGGGTGGGGGGTGGGTGGGCAGCACCCTCCAATGACCCTTCCATCTACACACACGCAGAAATGGGATCATGGAGAGAGGGCGGCCAGGGGGCTACGAGGGGGGGGGGTCCTGGGGCAGAACTGTGGGGTAGCAACATGCCATGGAGATACTGCTTGTGTCACCCCTCACCCCCATGAGGAGCCACCAGGGGTCACAGGGCTGGGACCCCTTGGCACGGGGCCGCCCGCAATGGGGCTGAGATGGGGTTGTTCCTCCCCACCGGTGACCCTTAACCCTGCGGTGTTTACCCAGGCACAGCCCCCCAGCCCAGGGGCGGGGGCTGAGCAGGGGGATAAAAGGACCTGAAGTCCTCAAAGAGGCACCGCAGTCTTCAGTTCTGCTCTGGTGAGGGGCTGCGGGGTGGGATTGCGAGGCGGGTGGGCAGGATGGGGCTGGGGGGGGGACAGGGCTGTGGCGTGGAACGGGGCCATAGGGTCAGATGGGGCTGCGGGGCGGAATGGAGCCGTGGGGCACAGGTGGGAGCAAGGCAGGGGTTGTGGGGTGGCTCCGGGGCAATGGGGTGGGCTGTGGCCCACCAATATGGGGCGCAGCCCCCTGGAAAGGGGACGGTGCCCCATGGCCACCACCACCCTCAGCCACTGCCATGAAACGTCTGTGGGTCGCGGCGCTGCTGCTGCTCTGTGTGTGCCATGTGGGGGCCGCGGCCGTGCCCCAAACCGAAGACCCCCCGGAGACCCCCCCAGACACCACCACCCTCCTGAGCCGCCACTTCCAGACCCTGAGCGACTTCATCACCAAAGAGCTGCCCCAGCGCCTGCGGGCGGATGAGATCCAGCAGCAGGCCAAGTACGTGTGGGGCTGGGATGTGGGGCGGCCCCATAGGGACCCCCCCCTGAACTAAGCCCCCCTGTGTCCCACAGGGCTTATGCTGAGCGTGCAGAGGTGCAGCTGAGGCCTTTGGCTCAGGAGCTGCGCAGCAACGTGCTGGGGCTGTTCTCCTCCCTTCTGGATTTGGGGAAAATTGGAGGCACGGAGAAGGACCGAGCCCCATAGGAAGGGGACCGAGCCCCATAAGAATGGGGCTGAGCCCCACAGTGATGATACGGGGGGAATAAAGCATGGAGCTGCTGTGGAGCGTGTGTGTGTGTGTGTTGGGGATACGGAGCTGTGGGGTGGGTGGAGGGATGGGGGTTGTTGGGACGTGGGGCGCGTGGAGATGTGGGGCAGGGATGGGGGATATGGGGTGAAGGGA